TAGTATTTATGAGATCAAGCCAATTTTCATTCCTTGAGCCTTCCCACATGCTGTAGAAGCGTATGATACAATAACTGGTAAATTATAGCACTGCAAGCATTTAACTTTTGTAGACTTCAGAAGCTCATCAACAAATTATCGTTTTCTCCCTGGATTGGTTGGCGTTTGTTGATTTTTATCATCTTTCATTGATATTGTGTCCCATGGTGTATTTAATGATTTTCATTACCATATACTTGTGGCTTCAAGCCAGGAGAAATGATAGGTTTGGCCCAGTGCTTTAAAGATCAATATTATGTGGCTATTTGGTCAGCCGTGTTGTGACAGTCCGAGTGCTCCTGACAGCCGTATTGACGACATTGAGTTGAATCCTTGAACACGTTCTCGCCCATAAATATAATTACTTAAAAAATGGCAGAATATTAATATCAGAGCAGCAAACAATTGGTGAAGTGAATCACCCCAAATGTAGACAGTAAATTACTCGTGATGAGAGGAATCGACCCAACTAGACCCTGCTGGCTTCTTAATATTATTATTTTTCATTACTACTCTCAATTGTGTTGCATCATCCCACCGTCCCACATCTGCATACATATTGTACAGCAGCATGTATGGGGTTGAACTTTCTGGTTCAAGTTTCATCAATGCCTCAGCTGCATTGTTATGCACCCGGCATGCACCCAGCAATGCACCCCACACAGCTTTATCTGGTTCAAATGGCATGTTTTTGATCAAATCCATGGCCTCCTCCAGATGCCCATGCCTACCCACTATGTCCACAAGGGCAGCAAAGTGCTCAATTCTTGGCTCAATACCATATTCACTGATCATTGATTTAAAATGTCCACGGCCTTCTTCCACTAGTCCTGCATGAGCACAAGCACTCAACACTGAAATAAATGTTACATATGTAGGCAAAACTTTGGTACTCTTCATCAATTTGAAAACTTGTAAAGCCTCTGTTGCAAAACCATGGGATGTATATCCTCCAATCATTGCATTCCACGAGATTACACTTCTCTGCAGTTTCATCTCATCAAAAATACTACGTGCCTCAGTTATTGCTCCGCATCTTGAATACATGGTGATGAGGGCATTGTTTATTGGCAAATCTGGAATAACTTTCTTAGTGACTAGCTGATGAATCTGCATTCCCAGGTGCAGGTCCAGAATTTGAGTAGACACACTGAGAACTGACGATAAGGTGTGCCGGTCAGGTTTCTCTACTTCAACTTGCATCTGGCTGAAGAGCTCAATTGCTCCTTTATAGTCCTCGTTTCTCTCACATCCTGCTATCACTGAATTCCATGAGACCAAATTCTTTTGAGGCATCCTCTCAAAAAAATCACAAGCAAGCTCTAAATTACCCATCTGAGCATACCACGATATCATTGTGTTCCACGAATGAGTATCAGGATTTGGCATTTCACCAAAGAGATTAGAGGCCTCTTCCATACTTGACAAATGAACATACCCACTAATCATAGTATTTCATGAAAAACTGTCTCGTTCCACCATTTGATCAAAGATTTCCCTTGCAGAAACAATATCTCCCGCCTTCACATAACACATAATCATCGAATTCCAAGACACAAAATTCCTCCTAAAGTTTTCATTTCCTTCTTCTCCTTGCTCACTACAAACTGGTATTCGATCAAAAAGCCTTCGAGCTTCATCTACTCTTCCTCTCTGACCATACCCGGCAATCAAAGTATTATAAGCATGCACTAAATCTTCTCTACCGTCACACCTATTCCCAAATTTAACCAGAATTTTTCCCGCTTCATCCAACTCACCATTCTTAATAAGACCAGCCACAAGTGCGCTTAAAGAAGCAGAGTCCCGTTCAGGCATTTTCTCAAAAAACTCAATAGCACGAGCCACGTCACCATTCTGCAAAAACCCCGAAATCATAGCGTTCCACGATACAACATTCCTCTCACTCTCAGGCATTTCATTAAAAACCCTCAACGCCGCCTCCGTTATACCATTCTTCGCATACCCACTAATCATTGTATTCCACGAAACACTATCTCTTTTAGGCATTTTATCAAACAACAATCTAGCCTCCTCCACAAGCCCACTTCCACGACACGAAATATACCCCGAAATCATTAAATTCCACGAAACGACGTCTCTTCGAGGCATTATATCGAACAGTTGTCTTGCTTTAGCCATTTCTCTGAATTTTACATACCCATTGATCATCGCATTCCACGTTACAGTGTTTCTTTGTACTGTTTTTATCAAACACGGCTCTTGCTTCACTCAGACGGTTCGTTCTTATCAAATGGGAAATCTTTTTGTTAGGCGAGTAAACGTCGGGCTTCGGCTTCGTCTCGGAGGCAAAGTTGCAAGACAGTGAAGTTACTTTCCGGGTAATGCACGATCCCAGTAAATAACGAGAAAGATAGCTTCGAGCTTGAGCTCTTCTTTTGGTGGCCAAAATGGTCGCGTTTAGCCTCTGCATGGCTTCAGTGGAACCCCAAGCTAGCTGCTGAGCTTACCGCGTTGTTAGATAAACGGTGACAGCCTGAACAGACCGAGACATGCAAGTCTGAAACGGTTTCCAACATATTGGAATTTCGAGAGCGGGAACTGGTTGTTTTTTATGGGAGGGAATTTGATTGATTCTTACTGTAAAAATGATTTGAAAGGTGAGTTTCGTGAGATTTGTGGTCGTTTGAGCTTATAAGTGATTCTTCTTCCGTTTATGTAAAACGCCATGGTTATAAGTCGATGGTTAGTGGTTAATTTGAGTCCCTCTAATAGGAATAGCTAGAGTCTTTACTCATGCAGATAATTCTAGAGTCTTCAATGGGTTAGTCTAAAAAGGATTCAATAATATTAATGTACAAACAAATCTTTGAGTGGAATAGTTAAAACCAAAAGTCATATTCATTTTATCTCTTCTTCCATGATATATTAATTTGTACATAAATCTTTGTAAAATTTATTTATACATATAATATTATCATTTTAGTTAAATTGTAAGTAAGTTAGTCGGCCACTCGAGACATTAAAAAAAAAAAAATGGAGAAATAATGAGAATTTAATTTATTTGTGTTACATATTATTAATTAATTGCAAGTATAAAAAAAAAAAAAAAAAAGCATAAACATTTTTAGTTTATTATTGCATCCAATACAAAGAAAATTCTACAATACAGTACAGTACAGTTAGTCCCATTTCAGAGATGGGTTGAACTTGGTAAAATATCAAGTCCAATGGACCAATCAATTAAGCCCACGGCTTTAAATGACAACAAATTGGACCTAGAACCATAGAAATCCGCTGGCTTATTTCACCCAAATTAGTATTAGTCACATTGTAAGCAACCCAGTTGGCCAACTTGGGCCTCTAGGCTCAAGATGGCCCGATTTTAGTTGATTGTAGTTGACCCAAGGCCAATCCAATCTCCAACCTATACTTTATTTCAAATTAAATTAACTTATCATTAACTCCACGTTACAAAGTCAAGGTCAATTACCAAATCAATACCAGGTCAACGGTCCAGATTTCCCTATCGATTAACCAAAAAATAAAGCCATGTTTGCCACGTCACCCAAATAACACAGTCCTATTTCTAGCCTTTCACTCAAATGGAACCAAACAATCCTTTAACGTATAACTGTAACCGACCAGCCGACCTACTATTTAAACTTTCTTACTAGGTCAATGGCGTGCACGAAACTCTACGGTGCTCCTCAGTCCTCGGTCGTCGGATTCAAAATAATGCTTCCGTTATTGATCTATTATGTGCACGTGGGTCCTGCTTTGACGGCTGAGATTTAACTCATGGCGATTAAAAGGAGTTCAATTTATCTGGGTTATTTACTCACACCCATCTGATTCGATTACTTCAATGACGCAAGATAAATCAATCTCGAAGAGATCCAACCAATGGGGAACTGAAACGTGTATAATCTGGGCTGTACACGTAACGTAATCATATCCGACATCGTATGCTTCTTCTCCACACAATGTCAGACTTTTGCCCTATTAAAGATGCTCTACATCAACGAGATCTAGACCGTCCATATTTGGTGTTTGTTGTGGGCTCAGATTCTCAGAATCAATGAAGTTTAAACAAACCGAGCCTGGAGTAATCCCATGATTACTGTTGATTGTTAATTAAGCATTTAATAAGTCATGCGCTGAAAATGATGAAATAAAATATTTTCGGTTTTCGATCGGACGCTTAGAGATTCGAGACCAGGGCTCTTAATTTGAGGATGAATGCTTCGGAATTTCTTTCCCGCGTTAAAATAAGCCTCTTGTACGTATCATACACGCGCCATTCTCTCCTAAACCATCTAAAATAAACTGACGTTACGAAGGCACATGCATGTGGGCCCCACGTCTGCTCCTCCTGGCCACCTATATTTATTTTATTACATAGAAATAAAAAATAACTTTCCACTTTGCTATATCCAATAATCAATTTTTTTTTTTTTTTCTGAATACTAATTAAAAAAATAATTTAATATAAATTGAACTTTGAAACCGAAACCATCACCATCATTAGCTGATCAAATGGCTGATTAGTACTCTAATGTATTATTTAAAAAATTTTGAATTCGTGCAATCTTAATCCTCAATAAGAATAATCACTAAAAATTTATTCCTGTGTTAACTTTAAGACTTGAAAAATTAATTAAGATACACATAAACTAATTTAAATAAATTTAATCATTAAAAAAAAACTTTAAATCTATCATCAAATCAAAATAAAATTTTATGCGTTTATATATAATTGAATTGGTTTGTAATTTATTTATTTAATTATTATATGTACGATCTCTTGGATTCGAGGGTTGGCTATGTGGAAAAAGACGATTATAGCAAAAAAGACATTTAAGTAGAATAAAAAAAAAATAGAAATAGAAGACGGACGGACGGACGGACCCCACAGAAAAGGGGCGTGTCGGCTGGTGAACCCAGCAGTGACGGAAAGACAACATCTGCAAACGCCGTCTGCTTCTGCTTTTTGCTTTTGCTCCCACCATCATCTCTCTCAGCCCAGCCTCATCATCACTACAACTTCACACACGCAACAACCACAGCACATTCTTTTAAAAACAACAAAAACAAAAACAGAATCAGAATCACCTCACTCTTCACTATACCACACCACTGACCACACTACAGTTATATAAAAGAAAGAAAAAACCAAAAAAAAAGTACTATAATGTGAAGGAACCAACGAACGAGCTGAAACACAGTCTCTCTTCTCTTTCCTTTTGCTTTTTTTCTCGCTCTTTACTCTTTGGTCTCAACCGTCCGATCTTGATCAGTAATCGCCGAACGCAATGGGAAGCGTGACCTCCGATGACGAAGCCTCTGATCAGCAGAGCGAGAGGTGCGGGAGCTACTCTCTCAGCGCTGACGTCAGCGAGTCCGAGAGTTGTAGTAGCAGTAGCTTTTCCTGTCGGAGATTCGATGCCGAAGGTGCTTCCAGCTCGCTCACATCATCTCCCCGTCCGGTCGCTGGAGGTTTTGGATTCCCTGTTCCGGTTATGGTGCCGGTGATTGGCGGTAAGGATGTCGTTGTTTGGGACGAGAAGCCGGAGAAGCCTGATACAGATTTGTCAGGTACTATACTTTTATATTTTTGTTGTTTTTTTATTTATTTTTATATTACTGGTTTTCTTTTAATTAATGTCTAATTCTTGTGTAAACTGTGGTTGAAAATGGAGGAAATGAACACTAGTTCTTTCTCTTTCAGTTCCATGGCAACCAAAATTGTGATGTTATCTTCTATTAGTGGAGATCTGAATACTGGTTTGGAAGTCATAAATTGAAGTCTTGATTGAGCGGACATCTCAGTGTGTGATGTTGCTCTTTTTTTATTTTTCTTTTTTTTTTTTCTCTGTCAAAGTTATGATAATTACTTTAAGTTTTAGTTATAATCATATTTGTAATGTTTTATTTTGTGGTTCTGCAGAAGTTGAGATGATGAAGGAAAGATTTGCTAAGCTACTTCTCGGAGAAGATATGTCTGGTGGTGGTAAAGGTGTTTGTACTGCGCTTGCCATCTCTAATGCTATCACCAATCTCTCTGGTTAGCTTGAATTTCAACTTATTTATTAATATAATGTGATTATTTGCATTTTATTAACAATTTTCTAACGATGTGATTTGTGTTTTTGGCTGTTCAGCGACTGTGTTTGGAGAGCTGTGGAGGTTAGAGCCATTAGCTCAGCGAAAGAAGTCAATGTGGCGGAGAGAAATGCAGTGGCTATTATGTGTTAGTGATTCGATTGTGGAGCTTGTACCTTCCATACAACAATTTCCAGGTGGGGGTACATATGAAGTGATGGCGACACAGCCACGTTCAGATTTATATGTGAACTTGCCTGCACTTAAGAAGCTTGATGCTATGTTGATTAGTATGCTTGATGGGTTCAGTGAGACACAGTTTTGGTATGTTGATAGAGGGATTATTGTTGGTGAAGGTGGAGAGTGTGATGGCTTTTCATCATTGGTTCCTAATGGGAGGCCATCGATTAGACAGGAAGAGAAGTGGTGGTTGCCATGTCCGAAAGTACCACCAAATGGGTTGTCTGAGGATGCCAGAAAAAAGTTACAGCAATGTAGGGATTGCACGAATCAGATACTGAAGGCAGCCATGGCAATTAATAGTAGCGTGCTTGCAGAGATGGAGATACCAACTGCATACTTGGAGACCTTGCCCAAGGTACTGGTTTCTGTATCTCAAATTACGTTTTTAGCATGACTCAAAACAAAATAGTAGTGCACATTATGATTTCTGAACCTGTCACTGGTAATGATGGTTCTGTGCGAGCCCAGAAAAATGAAAACTATGAGTCTTTAACTTTCAATTTGTGGGGTCTTGTTAAATTTAATATATCAACATCCTATCAAATGAGAAAAACATTGTATCAATATTAGGAACGTGAAATCTATATGTACCATTGAATTTCTCACATTGAATATTTGGAGCATAAAAACAATGGCTAAGTATTTCATATAACATAGACATCCTCTCAGCATTTGCTTTAAGTAACTGAGTTGAGCTCTATTAAATGAATTAACATTTTGTTTTATTATCAGAGTGGAAAAGCTTGTCTAGGCGACATCATCTACCGCTACATAACTGCTGATCAGTTTTCACCAGAATGCCTTCTTGATTGCCTTGATTTGTCATCAGAACATCACACTCTTGAAATAGTTAACAGGATTGAGGCAGCGGTGCATGTTTGGAAGCAGAAAGATGAAAGAAAACATACAAATCATATGAAAGTTAGGCGCTCAACATGGGGTGGCAAGGTCAAGGGCCTAGTTGCTGACACTGAAAAGAATAACTTACTGGCCCAGCGAGCTGAGAACCTCTTACAGAGCCTGAGGATTCGTTTCCCTGGCCTCCCACAGACTGCATTGGATATGAACAAGATTCAGTACAACAAGGTACCATTGCTGGTCCTGAAATATCATATACAACTGGCTACTTATTATCCACGTCATTTCATCTCAAATAATGATCTATTATAGTGTTTTTAACATGTAGTATACAAGATATGGATTTATTTATTCGGTTTTAGATGCCATGTTGTATTTTGAACATCTTAACGGACCCATAAGTTGGAGGTTGGTGCAGTACATTTCTGTTATATAATCAGGTATTTGTTCCTTGGGAAGAAACAATGAGAATAAATGTTTTTAGAGCTGCGATATGGTAAAACTGTTCTTTTTCTTGCAGGATATAGGGCAGTCAATTCTCGAAAGTTACTCGAGGGTGATGGAGAGCTTGGCTTTCAACATTATGGCAAGAATCGATGATGTGCTTTACGTTGACGATGCTACTAAGCGATGTGCTGCTGCAGAATCACTCTCTCTATTCAGCAGGGGAGGTCTGAGTGGTGTTCCCATCCAGAAGCGAATGTCTCCAAGTCCCTTCTCTATCCAACACACCCCATATGCTTCTCCATTTGCTACACCAACCTTCTGTTCTTCAACTCCTGTCAATGGAAGCCCCGGAAGGGCACCCACATCTATGAGGAGAAGTGGTCTCAAGGAAGCACCGGAGCGGAAGCTGGAAAAACCATGCCCAGTCGAGTTTGAGAGGGTTTGGTCTTATACTGGGAACCTAAGTTCGAGACGAGCTCCTGGGGATGCCCCAGAGCGAGATTGACAAGAGTCCTCATCCAGTTCCTGTATCAAAGAAGTTGCACAGGCATTCAGGAGACTTACGGCTGACAGGAGGATAGGATATGATTATTATATCTTGTATATTGTTTAGCAGTAGGAATATCATGTTCAAAAAGTTTTGATCATGGTGTTTTTGTCAGGTGTTAGTTAAGGAAAGAAGATGATGATTTAGGCTTGGGCCATTAATGTATTATCTAATGTGTTGGTGAAGAATTTACCTCTCCATCTAAATTTGGCAACAGATTTTTATTAAATCGAGTAATTAGTGGTAACTAAATTTTAACGAGTAAACGACATGTTTCCACCCAAACTTATAGCTAAATTCAAGGTTTCACCCCCTGGTTTCATAAATACAAGATTACTATCTTTAAATTAACACCATTTATGATTTTTGAGTTCGATAATAATATAGATACTGTTATTATCAAACTACTTTTGAAAAATAAATTAAAAATTGTTATTTAAACCCTAGATTTTCAGGCCCATTTGGTCGTTTCCTAGAGTCGACGACCTTCCCCAACACCACCCATAGCACCCCAGTCCATCTGCCACCAAAACCTCACCCTCTTCTCGCACATTCACCCATCATCACCTCGATCGCCTTCCCAATTGCAAGTTTAGAGAAGTTTGGTTTGTTTGATTGTGGAGAGGCTTTGATTGGTATATTTTGGAGATTTGGGGGAATATTGATAATTGATTGTGTGTAGTTTTAAGAAGTTTAGATTGATTGTGATTTATTGATGTAAATTTATGGCATTCCCAACTCATTCAAGCAGCTTTCTACCCCATACGCGCACCAAGTGCTAAAAAAAAAAGCCCCACCCACCCACCGCCCCACTAGGCTCAAAAGAAAGGTCGGTGAATGGCAAATGGTGAGTGAGGGAAGTTCATGTCGGGGTGGGTTTTGAAGATGGGAGAATGGGGGGTCCAATGGAGGTGGTTGGGTGAATTTTCAATGAATGAGGCGATCGGAAAATGGTTGTAAAGATGGAGGTTTGTGAAGTCAAACGCCCCCACTAGGTGCAAAAGAAAGGCCGATGGACAACAAACGGTGAGTAAGGGAAGCTGATGTCAGGGTGGAGGTGTTAAAATGGAGGTGGTTGGGTGAGTTTCCAATGAGTGAAGCGATCAGAAAATGGAAAATAGCTGCAAAGATGAAGGTTTGCAAAGTCGAATGGTCACCGTTTTTCGACAATTCTAGTGTGCAGGAGGGTGGGCAAAGGTGAGGAAGAAGCAAGGAAGAGGTAGGGGGCTGTTTTAGGTAGAAAGGTAGCCGGAAAAATGCTGGACATTTGCTAATGTGTGCCGCCCCTGGCTAAAATGTGTCGGCCATTGTACAAGGATGCTACTGTGCATGGGTACAAGGATGCTACTGTGCCCCACGCATGTGTCCGCCACCCACCCTTTGGATTCAAGAATAAAATGACCATTTACCCTTTAATTGTTAACTTAAACATTTTCTGTTAATTTAAAGGTGAGAATTTAAAATTTATAAAACGGGAACATGTCGTTTACTCAATTTTAAATAAGCATACAAGTAGGCAGCTTCCAAATCTCTTGAAATCAACATACATGCCGGTCAAAAGTTGAAATATAATCATACTGACCTTTGTAAAATGGTCTTCAGTACATGATACAACAACATCATTTATTTTCTGGGCTTTAGTTCAGTACAAATAGAAGTATTGAGTTCCGGAAAACAAGAAATGAAATAAAGAAAAAGAAAAAGAACGTTGGGAAAGGAAAAGCAACACCCAACAAAGCAGATGAAAATTACATTGGTATCAGTAAGCAATAGTCCCGGGCTCCTTGTTCAAATTGAGAGAAAAAAAGACCACTGATGCACTTAATATGCTGCTGGGTTCAAATATATTTACAGATAAGGAATATCCGTCTTTCGGCCAAACTTTTTATTTCATCGGAAAGAAGAGAAAAAGAAAATGAAACCTGGCATTCACAGCAAGAAGGAAAGAGCTTATTAACTGAGAAGGACAGCGCGGCTCATTTGCTATGGGGATTCTCCATATTGTTGGAAACTTACATCTGGTTTACCAGCTGCTGTTTATATATTCAGACAACTGAGCAATCCAGATGAAGATACAACTTCTGTACTGATGAAAAGTTTGTCTTCTGAACATTGTAAATTTAAAATGATCAAATTTCACAAGTGAACTACATCCTGGAAATGAGCTTGTAAAGAAGCCACTTCTTCGGCCTGATTTTGCACCTGTTGCATAAATTAAATCATCACTTCATATAATATTTTTTTTTGGGTAATCCACTTCATATAATATTATGTAAATATTAGAAAATAAATGGGCTTTTTTACTAAATATCAAAGAACAAGAAGTTTAGTAAAGGAGCAGTTATTTAGGCAAAGAGTAATACTACACATATAACATTTTTATA